TTTTGCAAAGTCAGACATATAGGAGAGAGGAGGAAAGACAGAGAGGAAGATCTTCTGTCCAATGGTTTACTCTCCAAGTTGGCACAACGGCCAGTGTTGAGTCAATCTGAAGCTCTTCCAGGTCTCCCACGCAGATGCAGGGGTCCCAAGGCTTTGACCCATCCTCAACTGCTTTCCCAGGTCACAAACAGGGAGTTGGATGGGAAGTGGAACTACTGGGATTAGAACCAGCGCCCATATGGGATATTGGCACATTTAAGGTGAGGACTTTAGCAACTTGGCCACCGCGCCAGGCCCAGCTTTTGCCCTTTCAAATGAGCCTTTCAAAGGGTCTGTCCATCCACTGGGCCATCTTGCTCTGTGCCAAGGAGGAATCGAGGGCAGGAGTGGGAGGGAGGCAGTGGGAAAGCTTTCTGGAACTTTGTGAGCAGAAGGCACAGGATGGAGGGATCTGAAGCCCAGGGCTAGAGGGCGGTGGCACAGGAGTAGCGGCCTTGGCAGTAGAGGTGCTGGGGTACATGGACCATGGCTCCCCTGCAGGACTTTCCTTGGGCTCCTGGGAACAATAGAGCCTGCCCAGCTGGTGGAAACCTCCTGAAAACAACTCCCCTCCCAGCCCAGGAAGCCTGGTGGCTAGACGGCGGCAGGTACAGTCTCATCCTGGATTTGCCTGCTGTTGTGAAGTCCCCAAGCTGAGGGCTGAACACCTGCTGTCTAACAGCCCAATTATGGTCACCCCAGGTGGCAGAAGAAACCAGAGCAGCCAGCACTCCATTTCCAAACTCCCCAAGGGTTAGAAATGGAAGTGGGTGAGAATCTCTGATTAGTCCACCATGCTCGTAGCCCCTGGTTGGTTAGCTGGGACAGGCCAGCGTGATTCTTCTGTTAGAGTGAAAGGGGCTCGGCTACATGGGGGGTTCTGCCTGCAGAGTGGGTGCTGTCCATCACCGCCATCATCATCACCATCATCATTCTGTTGGTCATTCTGACCATCATCACCTCACCTTCATCACCATGCTGCCCAGCTGTCCCTCGGGCACCCTTACTTCTCATAGCAGAGTTTCATATGCACTGTCTCCTCACATTCTCACTGATGTTACTGCGTAGTACTTGGCTCTCCTGAGCAGTAACCAGTTCTCCATTCCAGGGGAACCGGATACCCTAAATCCCATTCACAGCACTGACTCCACAGGTTAAAGGGCTCAGTCCCACTTTCACACCCAGTCCCACGCAGGGTCCCCAGGCTACCTGCCCTTCTTCCGAGCCACTTCCCAGTTGAACAATGTGCTAGGATGACTCACAGAACACGGGGGTTGAAACTCCCAACTAGAGCTTATCATAAAACACACAAATGAGGAGCCAGCTAGATGCATGGGTACACAGGGCCAGATATGAAGGGCCCCAGCCTCTGTCCTCAGAGTCAGGGAGGCCACCCTCCCAAGACAAGGAGACATTTAGCAACCAGCAGATCCTTCAGTCCCTTGCTTGCTGGGTTTTCATTGGTGTTCAGCTGTGGAGGCGTGACTCATTGAGTCACAGGCAGGGGTAGGACGATATGGGCAGATGCTGAAAGTCCCCGCAACTCCCCAAGCAAGTGACTGAGCTCCCTGGGGACCCTGCCAAGACTCGTCCATCAGCCTGGGTTATGGGTTGGGCCAGAGGGATTTCTGGAGAATAACAAAGGCACGCCTGTCGTTTGGGGCTTTCCTGAGCTTTGTGTCAGAAGTCTGGGATACATCCCAGGGAAATACATTTGACTCAACCCCACATGCATTTTTCAGGGGGCGGGAAGGAGGAGATGGAGGCACAGAGATGTTAAGTCACTTACCCTAGGATACACAGCTAGTTATGGCGACAGCAAGATTTAAACCCAGGCAGCCCAGCTCCAAGGGTCACACCTTAGCCAGGACACTGCCTGTTGTCTGATGTGCAGGACTCTGGGGTCACGAGCCTGACCTTCCTCCAAAGAGGGTCCTGGGGTGTTCATCTAGCGCACAGGGCACAGACTGTCATCAGGTTTTCTGACACTGGAAGCAGTTCAGTGTTACAAAGCTCCAATTCTTGGAGCCACTTGCATATGGTCAGTGTGCCCAGGCAGGCTCACATCGCTGACCGCGAAGCTGCAAACGTGGGCTTGGTTAGCAGGTGCCAACCAGGTGCACTGCCCCGTGGGCAGCCCCATGGACTTGCAAGGGTCCCGGGCGTGCCAGCTGGTCTGCAGGGGAGGTACCCAGTGAGGCAGGCACTTCCTTCTGTGGTTGCAGGATTCAACCCCTCCCCACAACCCGGCTGAGCCGGGGGGGGGGGGGGGAAGGGGGGAGGTGTCTTGTTCTTCCCAGTTGAGGGGGCGGGTTGGGCAGACCATAAGCTGTCCCAGATCAGAGCTGTGCTTGTTCTTCAGGAACAAGGGACTCGCCCCTCATCTCCAGCTCAGCTGTGCCTTCCACCTGCCGGAGTCCAGCTCCAGCTGAGTTCGGAACTCGCGAAGGGTGTGTGGATGAGGCGCAAAGAAAGAGAAAGAAAGAGACGGACCACTAGTAACTCTTCATCATCATAATGGACTACGCACAAAAGCTGTCTGCTTTATTTATACAAAATCAGTCAAACTCTGGCTCAGACTTTTTACGTCATGGTCAAGTGGGTGTTTCCAAAGATAACTCTGCCATTTGTTTCACCTAAGGCTAGAATGTTAACCACCTGGTGCCTGGCACCTGGCGCCTGGCTAGGAAAAGGTTCTCAATAGATGGTGCATATCAGTCACTAACACATTCCTACCACAATTACTTTACAGCTTGGTCTTGAGATAGTCAAGGAAGGAAGGGACCTAAAAGATCAAAGAAAGAGGGAAAGAATAGATTCCCACTACACCTGAAGACAGAACACCTTTGATTAGCATAGGATCAAAAGGGGAGTTAGCATCCTTGATTAGCATCTTCTAAGTTCCTATTGATATTTAACAGTAACTCCGCAGAGGCAGGCAATGCCTACATAGATTACAGAATACTCAGCGGGGTTGTCCAGTGTCCACGCAAAGGGAGGCAGAGCTGCATTCAGGTGTTGTAGAGACATCCGCCAGGCCTTGCCACACAGCGGGAAGTTCCTTGCGACCTTGCCTGCAATGGAACGATACTCTTCACACCTTCCTGTCTTCCACACCCATCACACGGACCCCAGCATCCACCTCCAAGTGCCAGCACCTCTGTGGGTTGGAAGGCTCTGAGTGTGTGTGTATCTGAATTCCAAAAGAAGGACTCAGGTCCTCCACTCAGCTGGCAGGGACCCAGCAGCCAGAGTCACCACCTGGTGTCCCTGGAGTCTGCATGGGTGGGAAGTTAGGATCCAGATGCAAGCCAGCAATCCACCGGGATGTTCTGGGACACAGAATACCAGGGAACACAGTGGTGATTTAACTGTTAAGCGGAATATCCATCTTGGGTGACTTTTAAAAATTAAAGATTTTTTTATTTGAAAGACAAAGTTACAGACAGAGGGAGAATAAGAAAGCAATTTTCCATGCTGGTTTATTCCCCAAATGGTTACATCAGACAAGCCAAGAGGGGGCCAAGGCCTTGGGCTGTCCTCCACTGCTTTCCCAGGCATCAGGGAGCTGGAGCAGAAGCATAGCAGCCGGGACACAAACAAGTAGCCATGGGGGATGCCGGTGCCGCACACAGAGGGTTAGCTTAATACACCACCATGCCAGACCCCCTCTGGCCATCATCTTGATAGAGACCGTCACTGTAAGCAGCTGCATGTGGGTTAGCGCTTTGCCCAGCAACGTGGATCTCTTAGTATCCGCTGCCCTCCCAGCCTGGTTGGCTAGAGGGAAGACAGAGAGGGTAGTTCCTGTATCATCAGGGACTGACCCCACAGTTGGGAAGACCAGGTCCTGGGTTCTACCACTTCCCACTCACTGCTGTGGGTGAGAAGCAGCTCCTGCCCAGTGGGGTCTAGAAGTGCTGCTGTGCAGAGGGTCAGGTCAGACTCTTTAAACAGATTCAAGCTGACCTCTGCATCCTTCACCAGAGTCACAGCCACTGTGACCCCACATGGCTCTGTGGCTGCACTAGCACATACATAACACTTCCACCCGTCCCACTGCACACACTCTTCCCCATCCCACTGCACACACCCCTCCCCCGTCACATTACACATACCCCTCCCCATCACACTGCAATACCCCTCCCCCATCACACTATACACACCCTCCCCCATCACACTGCACACACCCTCCCCATTCCACTGCACACACCCTCCCCTGTCACACTATACACACCCCTCCCCTGTCACATTACACACCCCTCCCTGTCACATTGCACACACCCCTCCCCCATCACATTACACATACCCCTCCCCATCACACTGCACACACCCCTCCCCATCACACTATACACACCCCTGCCCTGTCACACTGCACACACCCCTCCCCCATCTCACTGCACACACCCCTCCCCCATCCCACTGCACACACCTTTTCCCATCACACTATACACACCCCTCCCTCATCCCACTGCACACACCCCTCCCCGTTTCACTGCACACACCCCTCCCCCGTCTCATTGCACACACCCCTCCCCCATCCCACAGCACACACCCCTCCTCCGTCACACTGCACACACCTCTCCCCCGTCACACATGCACACACACCTCCCCATCACACTGTATACACCCCTCCCCATCCCACTTGAACACACTCCTCCCATCCTACCTGCCCACAGCCCTCCCAGTCCCATTGCACACACCCTTCCACCTGTCCACCTGCACACACAAGCATCCACTCATCCTGAGACACTTGTCTCTTTTCCTGCAAACTCACCTACAAGTCACCCCACAGACTCAGCCCACCTAGTCAGCTGCCCAGGAGTTGAGCACCCTTGCTCTGCAGGTACCTGTGACATCAGCAGCTGCTCCTAGCCTCCTGTGACCTCACTTCTTGGGCCTACCTGCCCAGCTAGGCCATGGCCACTCCTCTGAACCATCACAGCTGGCAGGGGGCATAGATGAACACCGAACCCTTGGGAGAGGCCCAAGCTGCCAACAGCCCTCCCCATGGCCCTCCCGAGGTGCCCCCGGGCAACATGGCTGACAGCAGGTCTGTGGACAGCTCGCCAGAGCCAGCAGCATCTCAGAGTCAAGGCCCTATGCCCCCAGACAGCTGGTCCACTGGCAATAACACAGCATCTGAAGAACAGCAGGGTGTAGACCCGGCCTCCTTCAAGACGGCCACTTCTGAGGTGACAGCCACTTCCGGGTCCTCGGCCACAACTGGGAATAGAGACTATAAGGAGGCTGTTCCAGGTGACAAACAGGAGGGGGCAGCCATCTCCGGGCTTCCCAAGGAACCTGAGGCTATGCAGGTGCCCACAGAACCCCTGAGCCCAGGGTGGGCGCCCCTGCTGGAGAACAGAGGGATGCTGTGGGACAGTGGCTTCCAGGGTGAGGACAAGATGGCCCAGTCAGCAAGTGGCCTGGAACCCCTGGGACTTGCTGCCACTGCCCCAGAAGTCCAGGCTCACTTCTTCTACGACACGGACACTCAGTCTGAGCTGGCCGAGGGCCAGGAGGCCTTCATCATCGTCATGGGCAGTGAATTTTTCCCGGCTGATGAGTGTCTGCAGGGGATGGAGGTAGCCTTGGTGGACAGCTCTAGGGACCTGCAGTTTGAGTCTTTCCCACCCTCCCCCCCAGGCGGCTACACCCCACCCTCTCCGGGCCTGCAGAGGAGGCCGCTGGACTCCAGCTTGTACCGGGCTGCTGAGGACAACGGCTTCCTGCATTCTATGACCAGTCTGCTGGACGGCAGCGAGGGCTCCACCAGTTCCCTGGCTGACATCTTGGTGCGGTCTGAGTCCAGCATGGGCATGGCCATGGCCTTGGGTTTCTTGACCTCGGGCCACAGCTCCCCAACAGACCTGCTACACACCCCTGGGCCCAGCCTGCGCTCCATCTCCAGTGTCCTAGGCCAAGCCGGCTCGGTTCTCTCCGCCAGACTGACTGCAAGCCCCGGCTCAGCCCTGCGCGCGGTCAGCCACGTGCTGGAGACAGTGGAGCGGAGAGCCATGGAGAGCCTCCGCTCAGCCCTGCGCTTCGTCAACAACCACTTTGCCCTGCGCCGGGCCCCGCCTGACCCCAACAGCAACTAGACCCTGCCCAGCACACTCCTGCCCTCCCTCCACATCCCCCACCCCTGCACCCCCAGGAATAAAATCACCGAAGAGCGTTTATTTTCTAAGTGCCCGCCTCATCCCGTGTCCATGCCATGGGCAGTGGGGTGGAAGGCATGAGGCCGGATGTGTCCTGTTTGGAAGCTGGGGACAAAGCTACAGGATGCAAAGAGTGTGACAAGGCTTGGAGAGGCTTGGGATGAGAGCAGAGACCCCAGACCCGGTCAGACCACCACCAGGTAAGCTCCTGGAACTCAACACCCACGGGCTGGACCAGCAGGCTCACATCACAGACTGGGAGTGGGTGGAGGGCCGAGTCACACCAGTGACTGGCTGGGCTTCTGCACCTCTGCTTCCCAGCTTAGTGAAAGACACGGAAATCATGCTAGCCCCACACACGGAATCAGGTCCATGTGACTGTACACATCTAATTGCTGAGACTGCCACCCTCCAGGGTTGGGAGACATTGGGACAGTGATCCATGCATGGGGGAGGGGGAAGGGGGTGACCAGCCAGCGGCCCTTGGACCAAGGTGGGGCTCCTGAGAAACAGCACTTTAAAACTTGAGGTGACACTGTGGCACAGGGGTTAAGCCACATTGGCTGGGACGCCAACACTCTGGAGGAATGTCTGTTCAAGCTCTGCTGGCCACCTGCAAAAGTGCCTGAGAAAGATGGCCCAAGGACCTGGGCTCCTGCACCCACGCGGGGGACCCAGGTGGAGTTCCCGGGTCAAGGCTTCTGCCTGGCCCAGCCCTGGCCTTTGGGGGCACTTGAAGAGTGAAACCACGTGTGTGTGTGTGTGTGTGTGTGTGTGTGTGTGTATTCTCTGTTTTCCCCATCTCTGTTCAAATAAAAACCTATTTGAAAAGAAAGCAAGCTAGGAAGCTGGGACAGATGTTGAGGCAGCAGTTAACTTGCAGGTTGGGACACTTACATTCCCTGCTGGTGTGCTTGGGCTCGAGTGCCAGCCCCACTCCTGATCCCCGCTGTGTTAGCGCACACCAAGGGAGGCCTGGGATGCATCAAGGGCTTAGTCCCTGCTGCCCATGTCGGGGATCTACCTTGAGCTCCTGGCTCCTGGCTCCAGCCTAGCCCAGCCTCGGTCACTGTGGGCACTCAGGGCGTGAACCAGAAAGGCAGCTCTACCTTTCCCTGCTCTCCACAGTCAATAAAAGACAGAACTGGAGACGGCTCAGCATCCTGAGAGTTCAGGCCCGGGGTTCTTCTTACGGTCTTCGCTCTTTTATTCTTTAAGATTTATTTTATTGGAAAGTCAGATATACAGAGAGGAGGAGAGACAGAGACAAAGATCTTCCCTCTGATGATTCACGCCCCAAGTGACCACAACGGCCGGTTCTGGGCTGATCCAAAGCCAGGAGCCAGGAACTTCTGGATCTCCCACACAGGTGCAGGATCCCAAGCCTTTGGGCCATCCTCCACGGCCTTCCCAGGCCACAAGCAGGGAGCTGGATGAGAAGTGGGGTTGCCAGGATTAGAACCAGCGCCCATATGAGATCCCAGGTGAGCAAAGTGAGGACTTTAACCACTACGCTATCATGCCGGGCCCGCGGTCTTTACTCTTGCCTTTGAGACTTTGCATCTTGGAAAGTGTCTTAGCCAGGGGCAGGACAGGAGTGCGTGGGCCTGGGGGAAGCCGCTAGCTCCAGAACCAGCTAAAAACCAGAGTGTCAATCAATGTGAGCTGGTGAGGGACACAGCAGGGCATGCTGGTTCGGCTTCTCCCTCAACTGTCCCAGAGCTGTCAGGACATTCTGGACTTTTTCGAGAAAAGTCTAAGACACAGTTGTTTGCAGCTGAAATCACATTTTGCCACTGCCTGCCCAGCTGTTAGTGGCTGGCGTCACCACCGGGCCCTTGCCACAGGCCCCAACAGCAGGCTCCAAGGGGGCTCAGAGACAAGCCAGATATGTGCATCCTCTTTCCTCCAGCAACCACCACTTCCAGTGGGTGCAGCACAGACCCATGTGGTAAAAGCAAGTTATTCAGGGGAGCAAGACAGAGTCAGACCCTGGCAAGCCGGGGCCTAGGGCAAGTAAGGGGTCAGAACCTAGAAGAGGAGAGAGGCTGCTCAGGCAGAGGCACCTACCCACGGCAGACAGGGGAGGGGAGGGCGGCTGGAGCAGCTCTGTGAGCCTGACGCCCACCATAGGGGGCCCAAGGCCGCGGAGTGGGCCCCAAGCTGGGGGCATGCATGTGCATGCCAGGAGCCGCTGTACACTAAAAACTACAAAAGGTGACCTGATGTCAAAAGGTAGAGACCCAATCCAAGCCAGACTAAGGCTGATGGAGCTAGCATTGTGCCACAGTAGATTATAAGGTGCCAGTTGCACCACTAGCACCTCACATCCGAGGGCTAGTTCGAGTCCTGGCTGCTCCACTTCCCATCCAGCTGCCTGCACATGTGCCTGGAAAGGCAGCAGCAGATGGCCGAAGTGCTTGGATGCCTGCACTCACGTGGGAGCCCCAGTGGAAGCTCAGGAATTTAGTCCCCAAAGTCTTGTACTAATTGCCCTAAGGGGGTGGAGTTTAGCATAATTAAGGTGTGCAAAGGAAGGGTTTTGAGGGGTAGTAATATCATATTCAGTGGTTTAAGTGGATCCCCCATGATGGAATCCTGGCAGTTTTTAAATACGAGTTCCCCAGCAACCTCTTTACTAAATAAATCAGCTGGCCTCTGCAATTTCATTATAGTGCAAAAAAGCTGACCACACCCAGTCACTGAACCTAAGACAGCGGAGGCAGCTTTTTCTCTTCCTGCAAAGGCCCCACATGGTCCACAACGTGAGATGGGTGAAGATGGAGCGGGGCTGGGAGGCGAGAGGCTGCAGGACAAGCAGTGGTCAGGCACCAGGCCAGCACAGAGGGGCGCACTCAACAAGTGGGGTGCCAACGTTTGCCAGTAGACAGCCAGAGTTGGGTTTTGCCAGAAGCAAGTCTAAAGGACTCTGTGCGGCCAGGCCCTGCCCCTCTGTACCTGATGTGTTACCACCACACCTGCTCCTTGGAAAGAACAGGCTGAAGATAGCAGACACCCCAAGACCACAAGATGTCCAGGAAGGACAGCCTGAAGCCAGGGGGGTTCCTGTGGCCTCTCTTGGTCTGTGCTGGGCAGTGTGGGGTGCCCAGACCTCCTGCAATAACAGCCTTGCCCCCTAGGGTGGGGAGCCTGGCAGGGGACAGCTTCAGCACAGGTCTCTTGGCAAGCCCCCTTGCCCTAGGCCGTGTTGCCCCACGACCCCGCACAGGCTGGCCTTGGTCCTGCATGGCTCAGCTCCCTCGGCCTGTTACAGAAGATGAGCAATTCAAGACTGGTTAAACAACTTCAATGTCCATCACTGCTTTTGCTGTCTGGGGAGAGTGAATTCTTGTTCCAGTCACAGCTACGTCACAGGTGACTGTGGTGCAGGCTTTGTCAAGAAAAAAAAAGCAGCACCAAGTGACCACTGCTGAGAGCAGTCATAAGGGAGGCCCGGCACAGCAGAAAGGTGACGTGATGGCTCTAGTACCACTGGGAGACCTCCCGGGGATACCCCCAACCGCTACTCCACACACACCAGGCCTGGAGTTTGCTGGTTCAGATCACGGAGGCGCCCTCTGCTGGCGGAAGCAGCAGCACGCAGGCGGCGCTGGCGGGACCCCCGCTGGCGCCTCCTTCTTCTGGCTTCCGCTCCTTGCCCAAGGCATTTCTCTCGGAAGCTTCTGGAAGCTTCTGGTCCACGGACTCATTCCAAAGACCAGAGAGGAAAGGAAAGAGCTCTGCTTCCGGGGACTGTGTCTGACTCAACTGGGGATGGGAGGGAGCCCTTGGGGCCAAAGTAGACCCTAAGTCCCTCTCCCAGAAACAGGCTCGCCCCCAAACCCCAGGTGGGTAAACTGAGGCAGCACAGGATGGGTCGCAGGCAGGCTCTTTGGGCCTCTGATTCGGCCCTTTCTGCTATGGGGGCGGGCAGGGAGATGGCCACAGTGAGGACGGACCACTCACTCCTTACTCGGGTCCCCCAGGGGCAGCCAAGCCATGGTCTGGCAGCCGGAACCCAGCGTTGAGGAAGTGGGAGTCTCCCAGCAGAAAGGCCAGGGGTTGGCGCTGAGGTGGACGGGCCCGGGGCCTGCTGCCATGGCAGGTGTCCAGGCGCGGAGATTTCCTGGGTGACCCGAAGGGAGGGGACGGAAAGAGGCCGCGTGCCGCCACCTGCTCCTGGTTAGCAGGGCAAGCCACCCAGGTCCGGGGCCTGGTGAGCGGACGAAGCAGCCTGGGTGAGGGCGAACAAAGGCCTCTCTCTCTTCGACCGAAATCCCGGCTGGCTGCGGGGCGCGCTTGGGCCACAATGGGGCTTTCTCCAGCACCCGGCGGCCAGGCCAGCCCCGGAGTTGGGGGGGTCCGGGAGAGAAGGCAGGGTGTCTGGGGCTACAGCGGCGCCGTTTCTTCCGAGGAAAACCCAGCTCAGGGCGGGGAAGGGGGGCCACGACTGCAACCCAAGCCGCGGGACAAAAGGGCGCTGGCCGGGGTCGCGGGGAGCGGCCGAGCCGAGCGCCCCCCAAAACACCCGCGGCCCCGCCCCGGCCCCACCCGGCGTCTCCATGGTGACCGTGACCTCAGCGCCGGGGCGGGGAAGGCGAGTCGGCTCCGGTTGCTACGCAACGGCCGGGTGACGTCAGTCAATTGAGTTGGGTTCCCAAGGCAACCGTGCGGGCAGCTGGGCCGGGAACTATTTGTGTCTGTCCCTAGAGAGGAGCCGCCGAGCCTCGGGGGTCTGGCGCAGCTGAGGCCGCGCTCCGGCCCGCCCGGCGGGTGGCGGCCGCGACACAGAGGCTCTTTCAGTGCCCCCCTAAGATGGCTCCCCGCCCTGGCTCCTGCCTGGGAGAGCCCTGGGCCGCCGCCGCCGGCTCTGCCCTATTTATACGCACTTCCCTTGGGCCAGTCCCTGGAAAAAAGGGGCTTGTGTTCGCAGCCTCCCG